ACGGAGCTTCTTGTGTGGCTCAGACATAGGAACAAGATAGCTATTGGATGGGAGCTCTGCAAGATTACTTTCCCCTCAGTCCTGCCCCAGCTGTTAGCCCTGCATGGCTCAGGGATGTCATGACAGCTTACCAGGCAGAGTGAAGTCAGTCACCCTGGGTCAGCATTACTGTTCCAAAGCCTTCCTAGAGATCATTAGGTCCTCTTGGCCCAGGGTAGAAGACAAGGAGCCACCCACAATGTGTATTGGCTAGATTTCTGCTTGCAATTGTTTTTGCATTTACTGAGCATCTAATGAGTGTCAAAGGCATCAAGAGATGGCACATGGGGGGGTGGAGGGATGGCTCAGTGGTTAAGAGCATTGGCTGCTCTTGCAGAGGGTCTTGGTTCAGTTCTCAGCACCCACATGGCAGTTAACAACTATCCAGTTCCAACGCCCTCTTTTGGCTTCTGCAGGCATTGCACAACATGGGCACTTAACACACATGCAGGCAAAATACTCAGACACTTGAAATAAATAAATAATTTAAAAACTATTTTATTTAGGGCGCTGCCCTGTTTCCTGTGCCTGCTTGCAGATGTGAGAGCTTAGCGCTTGCTTCTCCAGCCACCTCTGCTGCTGAGCTTCCCTGTTATGATGGACTCGTTCCCCGTCCCTTTGGAACCAGTCTTACAGTTAAGCGATCTTCCAGAGTCTGAGAAGAGACTTTGGACTTTTGAGTACTGAGACTGGTAAAGACTATGGGAACCTTAAGGTTGGACTAAATGCATTTTGCGTCTTATCAGGAACCTATGAGGGCCAGGGAGTGGAATATGGTGGTTTGAATAAGAATGTCCCCCATAGGCTCCAAGTATTTGGACATTTTTACCCCCAGTTGGTGGCGCTCTTCTGGGAGGTCTTAGAAGGTGTGGCTATGCTGGAGGAAGCAGGTCACTGGGGGCCGTTGGTGGCGCTCTTCTGGGAGGTCTTAGAAGGTGTGGCCATGCTGGAGGAAGCAGGTCACTGGGGGCGGGTTCAGAGAGTTCTTAAGTCTTGCTGGATCTGGAGTCACCTTCTTGCTTCCTGTGCCTGCTTGAAGATGTGAGAGCTTAGCTTCAGCTCCACCAGCTACCTCTGCCACTGAGCCTCCCCACCATGATGGACTCTTGCCCCTTTGGAACTGAAGCTTAAATAAACTCTTCCTTTCATAAGTTAAAAATATTTTGTTTATTATTTTTATTTTATGTGTATGAGTGTATTGCTTGCATGTAGGTAAGTGTACCTGTGTCATTTGATACCCATGGAGGACAGAAGAGGACGTCAGATCCCCAGGAACTGGAGTTACAGAGGGTTGTTGCTGCCATGTGAGTGCTGAGATTTGAACCCGGATCTTCTGCAAGAACAGTCAGTGCTCTTAACCGCTAAGTCATCTTTCCAGTGCCCCAAGTACTTTAAATAAAAAAAAAAGATGGCATGCCGGGCATGGTGGCACATGCCTTTAATCCCAACACTCGGGAGGCAGAGGCAGGCGTATCTCTGTGAGTTCAAGGCCAGCCTGGTCTACATAGTGACTCCAGGACAGCCGGGGTTACAGAGACCCTGTCTCAAAAAGACCAAAAAAAAGAAAAGAAAAGATGGCATGCAGAAAAGATGAAGAGTCACAGCAGTGACTGTTCACTCAGCTCCTTATGTGACAATGTCTTGAGGGCTAACCCCCATTTCACTGAGAAGGAAAAGGTTCAGACAGGTGCAGTCATTTGCCCGACACCACACACAGGAGAATAACAGGTCCAGCAGTCAGGAGGTAGAGGTACAAGGATCAGAAGTTCGATATCATCCTCACCTATACAGTGAGTTCAGGACCAGCCTGGGCTACATGACAAAAAGGAGGGGGCCTAGAGAGATATCTGGCTCAGCAGGTAAGAGCAGTTGCAGCTATGACAGAGGATCAGATCTGAGTTCAATTTCCAGCACCCATGTAACTTCAGCTCCAGAGAATCCGATCCCCTCTTACCATGTGACATTCACATACCCACACACATGCACATAATTAAAAATAAAGAACAGAGGCTGGAGAGCTGGCTCAGCGGTAAAGAACACTCTGTTTTTCCAGAAAACCTGGGTTCAATTCCCAGCACCCACATGGCAGCTAGCAACGGTGCAAAACTCTAGTTTCAGGGGGTCCAACACTCTTTTCTGGCTTCTGTGTGGCATGGCACACATGTGGTGCACTTACACACATACAGGTAAAACACTCATACACATAACAATAACAAAATATTTTAAAAATAAAGACTAAGTCGGGTGTGATGGCGCCTGCCTTTAATTCCAGCACTCGGGAGTCAGAGGCAGGTGATCTCTGTGAGTTCGATGCCAGCCTGGTCTCCATAGTGAATCCAGGCCTGCTGTGGCTATAGGGAGACTGTCTCAAAAAGACCAAATAAATAAATAAACGAAGAACAAACCATTAGGCTGGGCATGGTGGTGCATACTTTTAATCCCAGTACTCAAGAGGCAGAGGCAGGCCTCTCAGTTTGAGGCTAACCTGGTCTACATATTGAGTTCTAGACCAGATGGGGCTGGGCTACATAGAGAGATCCTATTTAAAGAAAACAACAAACAAACAAAAAACCTTTTTGAAATAGAGAAGGAAAAAGAGCAGGTGCTGAGGTTGGCACTCACTAAAAAGTGAGGTCTGGGGGCTGGAGAGATGGCTCAGCAGTTAAGAACACTGGTTGTTTTTGCAGAAGACCCGGGTTTGAATCCCAGCACCCACATGGCAGCTAACAACTGTCCGTAACTCCAGATCCAGGGGATCCGACAGCCTCTTCTGTCCTCCACGGTGTTGCATGACACAGGTGCACTTACTTACATGCAGACATAACACTCATATACATAAAATAAAAGTAATAAATAAAATCTTTAAAAAAATAAAAGAAAAAGAAAAAGTGAAGTGTTCTTAATTTCTCTGGACCCAGTTTGCTAGGCTCCTGGGATATACTGAGTCTTAACAGGGCTGAAGGGAATTAGCATTTTCAGAGCCCCTACCGGGTTCCAGGCACCATGTATTTCTATACATCACCTTGGTGAGTCCTCACAACAGAACAGGGTGGACACTATTATCTCAATTTGGCAGATGAGGAAGCTGAATTGACTAGCCCAAGAGCACACAGCAAATGCAGCCAGCATGTGAACATAGTTCAATCTGGCTCCATGCCCGGTGGCCTCCCTCTTTTGTCTTAGGCTCTCCCCCCGTCCTGTTAAAGTCCCAGGTACATGGTTGGTACTCAGCTAGTATGGAAAGAACCCCTAGAGGAATTGTCAAGACAAGACTGCCTTTGTGATGCTTTCCCTGAAGTCCAGTAGAGGGCGACCCTTCACAGCCAGGCTTCCAAAGCTTTCTCGATGGCCACTTGGGAGCTCCAGAAAAGCTGGTGAGGGGGTGTGGCTCCCCGGACCCGAGGCACACATAGCTCCATCTTCTTTAACCTTTTCATAGAGATGCCCCACCCCGGGGTTCCACCAATAGGAGGATCCTTCATCCTGTTAGGGTTGGGGAAACAGGCTGGGGGGATGCAGGAGACCCTCCCAGGGTTCCAGATGTCACAGAGAATGAGATTTGTTGTCCTCTCTCCCCCACCAATCTCAGGATATTATGTTCCAGATTCAAGAGAGCCTAATGAGGTTTAGACTTGATGGTTTCCAGAACTTTGGCTCAGCTCCCTCGGCGGTTTCCTGGGAAGTGTGTGTGTGTGTGTGTGTGTGTGTGTGTTGTGTGTGTGTGTGTCTGAAGACCTGAGGGAACACAGGACCTAATAGCAAGCAGGAAGGAAAATACACAGGCAATAGTGGTCCATATGTCTGCGGCAGTCACTAAAGCTGGGTGTGACAGAGTTCCACTAAGTAGAGCCTCCTAAGGGATCAGAGCCTAAACTGGTGTTGGGTAGATGCCCACTTCTGGAAACCAGGAATGAGTGCCCAGGTGCGGGAATGCCTGTCTCAGGCCCAGAGAGCTACTGGCCCTGTGGAAGAACTAAGTGCAGTGCAGTGGGGCCTCTATTGGACCAGGCTCCTCCCATCCCAGTTCTCTGCAGGGGCCCACTCAGACCCCTTAACCACATTAAGGTTCCCACTGTTAGGAAAGGTGCTGGCCCAGGGCCACAAAGTCAGCAGCTTCTGGCCTAGTTCCCTGGCTGACCTTGTGCTCCAGGAGAGGGCCATGTGGCCTAGGACCATAAAGCTAAGGCGCCTGCTTCCCCATGCACTCAGGGACCCTGAGGACCCATTCTGCCACCCCGAGCCCATTTTCTTTCCTTCATATTGGAGTAATGGCATAAAAAAATAGCATAAGAGAGATGGGAAACCACTACCCATAGGGCATTTACCACAGGCCGAGCAGGACTTGGCCTCTTTAAGTAAAATCTCATTGAACTCCACAGCAGCCCTCAGATAAGCTGTTTATCTTCCATGTATAAATGATAAACTGAGACTCAGGGAGATCAATTAACACAAGGTCACACAGCTTGCAGCCCCCTGTGTAACTGCAGACTTTTTCTTTTCCTATGTGGGGTTTTTCTATGTTGTCCAGGCTGGTCCTAAGTGATCCTTCTGCCTAGGCCTTCCCAAGTAGCTATTACTACAGAGCTGCACAACCATGCCCAGCAGACTCAACTATGTAGCCCAGGCTTGCCTGAACTTACTATGTAGTCTAGATTGGTCTCAAACTCATGGTGAAACACCTGCCTCAGCCTCCTAAATTATAGGCATGTGCCACCATACCTGGTGGCTTTCTAACTGCTATGAGGTCTGGTTGTTTATCCCTCCACCTCCCACTGTTCTGCCCTGTCACTATGGGACTGGTTCTCACTCTGTGGTCACCAAGCCCTCTATTGTGTGCTGGGCTCTGCTTGGCCTGGAAGATTCAAGGGACGAGGAAAGACCACTGGGACAAGGAGGAATGGATGGAAGGTGAAGATGGGCCAGGCCCCCACCCCTACACACACACACTTTCATGTGAAAGGTTGGGTTATGGGGAACAGAGGCAGCTGCCTTTATTGGGGGCTGTGGGCTGGCTGGCTGGCTTCACTCAAAGGCCACACACTTGATCTTGAAGTCACCATCTGCTGCCATGTAGTTAATGGCCTCCATGTTGAGGCGGTTGGGGAACTTGAACTCATGCCCATCTGGCAACTTGATGGTCAGATCAGCCTGGTCGAAGGAGACGCACACCTGGTGGGTGGAGAGGGACAGTGAGCTGGGCCCAAAGCCTGCATGACAACATATACAGATGAGACCCAGTGAGGTTCAGAGAGGAGATAATGTTCACACAATAAGGAAGGCAAGGGCTGACAGGGTCAGCCTCTGTCTCTGGCCGCTAAAGCCAGCTTTGCTCAGCTCCCAGGGCCCTGCCCAGCCCTAGTCCTGCCTACCTCCACGATGCTCCCAGGCTGGAAGGGGAAGGCAGGCTCCCGGTGCTCAGTCCCCCAAGCTCCGCCATCCTTGCTGTTACACACGATGGTGTTGGCGTCCCCGTGGGCATTGAAGCGGGGGTTGAAATGTAGGCACAGGTTGTTGCTGTCTTTCCCCAGGTTCAAGACAAAGCTAGGGAATGATGGGGTGGGGCTTAGGCTGCATTGGCTAGCTCTAGACCCAAGGGTGACCATTCTGCCATGCAACATATCATAAATGAATCTCCTTGAGACTCAGTCAACAGGAAGACCAGACACCTACTTATTCTGTGACTCGAGTTAGTCCTTGCCCCTCCTCTCTGGGTCAGTTTTCAGCCTGGATGATGAGGGCTTCCCTGAAGAAATCTCTCTCCCAGATACTAATTTGTGTCCAGCTTCTTTGGTTAGGGGAGGGTACTTTCTCCAGATGGTGTCCTGTCTGTCTTGTATCTCTGAGTCCAGCACAGAGCAGGACACACCATAGATGCTCCATCATTGTGGAGTAAATGAGCAAATACTAACAATGTCCATTGTTGCATGGGACCCATAGTGGCTCTTTCTTCTGAGGTGTGGTGATAATAAAATAAGAGAGCCCAGGGCTTTCTAGCATCAGCTGGCCTTTATCATCAGCCTTGTTGGATCTGGGCTGTGGCTTCTCCACATACAAACTCCCCCTCAGGCTTTATTAAGGCTCAGGTCCAGTGAGATTGAATGACTGGTCCAAAGTCACAAGACTGCTGGGAGAATCATCTGAATGAATTTTGGGGAAGCACTGAAGGAAAAAGACTGAGCCCCGAAGTAAAGGAGGCTCTTGCCCCTCCTCCACTCCATCCGGAAGGGGAGGGGACCAGCCAAGGTAGTTGCTGAGGCTGCAGCTGTTTTAGTTTAAGAAGTGGAGAGGGAGGGGGCAACCATGGCGGGGGCGCCCAGACTCAGCGAGGAAGTGACTCACCCAGAAAAACGCAGCATGGGCAGCTGGCCATTTAACCCCCTGCAGGCTGGGGAGAAGCAGATCTGGCCGGCCACACCCATCCCAAGCCTGGGAACCAGCCTGAGAATCCCAACGCCCCGGCCGCCCGCCACCCCCAAGTGGTCGCCTGCCACCCCCAAGTGGCCTCCTACCTCTTGGCATCCGGGGACACCTCGCCCCGCACTCTGAGGCACTCCCCAGGTTTGAGATTCAGATTGCTGGCGACCAAACCCTGCAGATAGACCGGCCCACCGAGTTTAGGGCTGGGTTAGGAGGATGTGGCCTGGGGGGTGAGAGTGGAGCCTTTCCCAACCGGGGTACCCTGATCAGCCTTAGGGGAAGCCTGGGGGTGGGGGACCGGACAAATTCTAGTCTCCTATTGTGTATGATCCAGGGAAAAGCCCCATTCCCAGCAGGGTGTGTCCTCTAGGGGATCTGGACCTAGTGTGACTGGGAGGGTGGAGTGTGACCCGCCCCCTCCTCATTTAGTTGATGGGCAGGACCAGGCTAGGTGTGGGACAACTATTTGCCCATGGTCCTGCTTAATGGAACGGTCTGTGACCTGGGGCATGGGGGACCTCCCCAGTTCCCTTGAAGGCCCTCTGCTCAGGGGCAGAGCGGAGCATCTGAGGGGCAGGGCCAGGCCCACCTCTGCAGGAGAAAGCCCCCTGAGCAGGGTTGCCAATTTAGCAAGCCAGCACAGAGGCGGACATCTGATGGCCACTGGCCCTTGTCTGGACAAGTGGGCAGAAGTTAACTGATGTGAGTAGTTCCTTAGAAACTTGAACCCTGTCCCTGAGGGTCTGCAGAAAATTCTAGCCTCCTGACTTCTCCCTTATCACCTCCTCCCAGCCTGGGGTGGTGTGATTCTCTCCACCCCCACTTGACCAGACGGCACTGAATAGCCTGACCCAGGCAGGCCTGGCCTGCAACCTGTCTCAGGCCCTGGAGGCTTTTAGAGCTCTCTGGAGCAGAGGGTGACTAGGCCCTGGCCCTGTGACTGGGGACAGCTGCAGGGGGGAGGGGTCAGGAGACTCCAGGGTGGAGGAGGGGGAAAGACAGTCGCTGGGGCCCACTCCCCTCCCCTCCCCCACGCTGGCCACACCCTTCCCGCTGCCACTTCATAGAGCTGCAAAATCGCAGAATGTTGGACTTTGCAAGATATTGTGCTGCCAGACCTTGGAGGAATCCAGAACATTCTTAAGCCAGAGGCTTAAGGCTTTCTGGGACTGTGCCACCACCCCTGCCCCCATTTTATAGATGTGGCATTAAGGGTCAGAAAAGAAGACATTTATCCAAGGCCACACAGCTGGTCCTAGAACCCAGCTGCCAGATTGCCAACTGTCCTGTGACCATCTGCTTCTGCTGGATACCCAAGACCTGGGAGTGGGGGACCCCTCACTCACACAAGCCATGACTGAAGCGAAGAGAAGTTTCCTAGGATCTGCAGCGCCAGCTGTTTGAAGACTCCACCGGAGAGATGGGCCCCAGGGCTGCTCTGACCCTTTTAACTGGACCAGACCCCGTGAGTTCCGCCCCCCCCCCATCTTAGCCAATTGTAAGTCAGGACAGGGACAGGGGGCCATCAGAGGTGGAACCAATGGAATTTTAAAGCCAGTTCTGAAGCGGAGTGACCAATCAGAGTGGTGAGGCTTCCTCTTCAGCCCCTCCTCCAAGGTCTAAGTTCCACCTCTTATTACCCCCCACCCCTCAAAAAAAAAGATGTGTGCTGTGGCAGAGATTGGGGGGGGGGCAGTGGAAAATAGTTTGAGGATGAGCTAGGCCGAAGAGTTGGCGGGCAAAGGGCCTGGGGCCAGCAGGCAGAGTCCCAGGGGGCCCAGAGGAGCTGGCTTGGGGGGCAGGGAGGGTAAAGGCGGCAGAGAATTAGAGCAGGGGTAGAGTAGAAGAGGCTAGGGTGTGGCTCTGGCTGTGCGCCTCTATAGAGGACCTAATACCACAAAGCCCGGGCTCCACCCGGGCCTCCCCCGGAAGCAGGGGACTGTGGCTGTGGCTCGTGCTGCACACCAGGGCTAAAGAAAGACTGGGCCAGGTGCCAGGCCTGAGGTAGCCATCCTTGGACGTTGGATCAGTCCTTGGATTTCATCCTGCTGCAGTGCCTGCAGAGAATTCTCACAGTGTCTGGCTCTGACAGCCTCTGGCATGGGAAGTAAAACTGGGAGGAGCCCAGAGTGGGTCTGCTCTGCACCCCTGACCTCCCTCTCTGATAGATAAAAAGTAGCCTATGGATGAATCCGGTTGATCAGGAAAAAGCACCATAACACAGATAAAACTTCATTAGAATAGTTTATTAGCAAAGGAACACATGGGACAGATTCCCTTCTGGGCAGGGAAAATGTCTGCCTGTGTTGTAAGCTGGGGTCTTTTAAAGGGGGAGGCTTCTGCTTCCTGCAGAAGGTGGGAAGATATATTTTTTTAAAAGTTGGGTGGGGGGAAGTGGGAGAGCAGGACTGTTAAAACCTGTCTTCTGCTGTGTTGGCCAAACAGTGGAGAAAAGTCTGCTTCTCTTGACTTCAAAGACCAAGGGTGCTTATCAACTCAGTTCCCTTTTCTCAGGAGCTTGAGAAGTCTGTGAGACCCTTTTAGTGAGGGGGCGGGGCTATCTGAACCTTAACACTCTCCACATCTCCCTTTCAGAGGCCAGGCATAGCCTTCCCTTTCCACCCAGATATTTTCCTGAGCACCTACTATGTGTCTAGGCCTGGACTGGCCTGAGGGTTCGAAGGCGAGCCACCTCCTGGTCCCAGATTCCTCAGTTTGGGTAGAATCTGGCCATGAACCTAATTATGAATAGCACTATAGTGGCTCTTGGGGAAGTCAAGGACACCTACCATAGTGGTATGGAGACTACCAGATGAGAAGGAGGGTCTCAAAGGACCTGGAATTATCTAGAAAGTCTTGGAGATGAAAAATGCAGGTCTGGGGAACAAGGCTGTGTAGAAAGATGGGGGTTGAAGCTCATGAAGGGCCTCACTGGCCAGATAAAGGGGTTCAATGTTGCTTCACCTGAGGGTGCTGGGAGCTACAGATGGTTATGGGGGAGGTGAGTATTGAGGCCAGAGCTGAGAGTGTTGTGAAAGCTGCTTTTGCTGAAAAGCACAGACCTCCCCCCTTGGGCCTAGAGGTATCTGAAATGATGCAAGCCTGACATGTCTATCTTCCTTTGCATCTGTCTCTACTTTGGCTGACACCTGCTTGCCTCTGCCTACCTGACCTACCTCATCTCATCATCCTTCAAAGCCTGAGGCACAGAGACAAGTCATTCAGCTAACCCTGCAGTCACCTTGGATTCCAGAAAGAGCTAAACCCTTGCAGTACAGACCTCTCCCCTAGATGCTGGCAGTTGTCCCTGAAGGCAAAACTGCCCCCCTGGAGCAAGAATTAACCTTTCCAGCAAGTTCCCTTAAGCAAGGGGACATCTTTGAACCACTGTACAGGACCAGGACTACTGAATTCTTCATACCTTTTGCTGTCTGCCCCAATTCTTCCAATATTTTAAGCTTAAAACTCTTATCAGTGAGCTTGATGGCTCACAGCTGTAATTCCAGAGCTTTGGGAGATTGAGGCAGGAGGGTTGAGAGTTCAAGGCCACCACCACCTACATGAGACCCTGGCTCAAAAAAACTAAAACTAAAACAACTGTCCCTCCCCAAATCTAACATGTATTAATGGCCCAAAGACAGACTTGGGGGTCTCTGGAGCCATTTCTCTATTTCTCTTCCCAGTGTGTCCACTGTTAGTCCTCTACCTTTCTTTTGAGTCAGAAGCTCATGCAGTTCACACTGGCCTCAGACTTAATATGCCAAGGATGACCTTGAACTTCTGATCCTCCTGCATCTACCTCAAGTGCTGGGACTGCAGGCCTGTGCTTCATGTCTGGTCTGTGCTTTGCTGTGGTTTGAATCCAGGGCTTTGTGCATGCTAAGCAGGCACTCTACCAACTGATTATTTCTTGAGTTGGTGCAGAGGCTGAGCTGGCTGCCAGAGCCCCCTCTTTTGTCTTGGAATCTCTGGTTACAGTTGGAGGAGTGCTCAGTTTGCATTCAGGAACTAGGTGGAGAGAAGGGGATGGGGTACTCTGGGGAAGACACTTGCTGGGGAAGTTCTCAAGGGAGCTGCTGCTCCATGGGTGCTATTCCCTATTCTGAAACTGCCAGTGAAGGGAGAGGAAGATGTGGAGGAGCCATGAGTCACATCTGGAGACCAGGCCAGCAATCCGCCTTGCCCTCCCCAGCCTCCCCTCCCTATTCCTGCCAGGCCCATCCTGAGCCCCTTCTTCCAGATGACTGAAGCCACCCAGCACAGGAGAGGGGAGTGTGTAGGGTACAGGAAAGATGCCCTGTTCAGGAGTGAGGCTGGGCTCCCATCAGTCCTCAGCCTCACTAACTATAGGGGAGCTAACCGCAGCAGCTTCGCTTTTTCCTGTGAGGCCTCCCCAAACCTCAGTCACAGGGAGGGGCAGACAGAGCCCTGCTCACCTCCTTGCATCTTCCCCATGGGTGCCTCTGTGCCACATCAGGAATACGGCGCATCAGGAAGAGTCCCAGCGGGGGACTAAAGGTGAGGGAAGCAGGTGCCCAGCTCTGCCCAGGTTCTGGGCACTCTGTGAGCTACGCCTATATAACCTGAAAGAAAGCCAGTGCCAGGAAGTGTTTGGGGAAGGAGGACATCACTCTTCTGCAGGGGCTGACTGCCTGAGCTGCATTGGTGGGGGTAAGGTCCCCCTTCAAAGGCCCCCCAAAGGACTGGAGGCTTGGGTACTGCTTATAGCCCTGCCATACCCCTCCTTGGGGTAGTCTATCAAGTCAAGAAATCTCTCCTGCTTGCCTCAGTCTCCCCATTCACAAACTTGAGTGTGTGTGAAGTCCTTTCCTGACTCAGGTCTGTGGCATTGAGTAGGTGACTATTTTTTTCATAGAGCTCATGGGTTTCTTTTTTTTGTATTGAGACGGGGTTTTACTCTTAGCCTAGGCTGACCTAGAACTCACTATGTAACCCAGGCTGGTCCTCCTACCTCAGGCTTCCAAGTGCTGGGATTACAGGTATAATATAGCATGCTCAGCTGAGCTCAGGTTTTAGCATCCCTCTTGTCCCTTCTCATAAGCTGAGGTGACCGTCCTGGAGGTTTGGCTGTCCCTCCCCTGCTCCCCTCCTCCTGGGCTGTGGCGAGGAGTTGCCAGACGCCAGTATCCCCTGTAACAGGTACTATGGTTTGTGAGGCAGGGTGGACAGAGACAAAAGTCCCTTCTGTGGGACTAAGGATCCTGATGGTGACACCAACTTATCTGCTGGGCTTGGAGCCTGGCGCCTTGCTATCTCACTTTATCATAGCGCCCTTCCTTGGTGTCTGTCCACCTGCTGAACTTCTTGGGGAGTGGGGAGCTGCAGCTAGAGCAGGGGGGGGATGGGGAACAGAGAGGGTTTTAGGAATTAGGAGTTTTAACTCTCCAGAGTAAAAGTTAGGATTAGGAGTCGAGTCACAGGTGGAAAAGAAAGGCAACCAACCTCATACAATCCACGCTGACCTTTATTAGTCAATGACTGGTGACTACTGACCATTGAGGGTCTGCAGTAGCCACAGTGGCCAAACATCAGGGGAGCTTAAGTCCCTTTGTGTAATTAGAGTCATGGGACTTGGGTAAGGGATTTAGGGCCTGCATTTTCTACCCCTAATAAGAGTCTTAGAAGGACTTGTTTGTAAAGTAGGAATTGCTTTATGGTTTGGGTTTTATGGGGGGGGGGCCTGT